GAGCTCTCTCTCTCTCAGGCGGGCAGGAAGACCTATGCCGTGGTGTCTGGCTGCTCAACCAGTAATGCTCTGGCCTCGGAACTGGTGGAGTCCAACGACGGACACGAGGAGATCATTAAGGTAAGCCCAGGTCACCTCCGCCTTTCCTCCCGCAGGCCCGAGAGAGGGAGTGGCTGACTTTGCCAAAGGGAGCTTGTGGTTCCACTGGGAAGAACCAGACCTGCCATGCCAGTCCCTGGCCGTCTCCTGGAAGGGTCCTAGTTAGCACAGGAGCACATAGTCTATAGCGACTCAGGTGCCAGCCGGCCCCGGGCGTGGGGACGACGGGATGGCCTTTTCAGGTGCCTTCCCCCTGTCTATGTTTGGGTGCTGAAGTTCGTACAGACAGATGAGAGGTGTGTTCGTGGAACATATTTGTAAAAATTAAAATAATCTTTCTTATTCCTTTAAAAAAACTCCAGCTTTTTGAGATATGATTCACATACCCTACAAATGACTCAGTTACAATGTGCCATTCAGTGGTTTTTAGTATATTCACAGTCGAGCAACCATCGCCACTATTCATTCCAGAACATTTTCAGTGACTCCTTCCAGCTCCTGGCAGTCACCAAGCTACTGTCTCTGTGGATTTGCCTCTTCTACATATTTCACATAAGTGGAATCTTACAACATGTGGCCTTTTGTGCCCGACTCCTCTTACTTAGCATAATGTTTCCAAGGTTCAGCCGTGTCGTAACATGTCCGTACTTCTTCCTTTTGATGGCTGAGTAATAGTCCCTTGATGGCTATATCACATTTTGTTACCCAATCAATTGATGGACATTTGGGTTGTTTCCACTTTCTAGCTATTATGAATAACTCTGCTATAAATATTCATGTACCAATTTTTGTGTGAACATGTTTTTTGCTCTCTTGATCTATACCTAGGAGTGGAATTACTAGGTCATATGGTAACTCTATATTTATTATTTTGAGGAACTACCAGCCTTTTTTCCAAAGCATCTGCTCCATTTACGTTCCCATCAGCAATGAATGAGGGTTCCAGTTTCTCTGCATCCTTACCAACACTTGTTATTATGTCTTTCTGATTATCGCCACGCTAGTGGTTGTGAAGTGGTATCATATGCTTGTTGCCCATTTGTATTGATACTTTTTCAATTTTTTTGCCCATTTAAAAATTCAGTTGTGTTTTAATTGTTGAGATGTAAGTGTTCTTTATATATTCTGAATACTAGACCCTTATCAGATACATGATTTGCAAATTTTAAAAACTTTTTTCCCATTCTGTGGGTGTTTCTTTTTTTTTTCTTTTTTCTTTTTTCTTTTTTTTTTTTTTACCAATTTCTTCATGTTGGACTTTGAAACAAAAGTTTTAATGTGATGAAATCCAATATATATTTTTTCTCTTCTCACTTATGCTTTTGGTGTTGTATCTAAGAAGATTTTGCCTAACCTAATTCCACAAAGATTTATTTGTACATTTTCTTCAAAGAGTTATAGTTTTAGTTCTTACAAATAGATCTATGATCCATATGGAGTTAATTTTATGTACAGTGTGAAGAATGGGTCCAGCTTCATTCTTTTGCACGTGGATATCTGCTTTACCAACATCGTTACAAAGACTGTTCTTTCCTCATTAAATTGTCTTAGCATCCTTGTCAAAAATCAGTGGAGTGTATTTTTATTATATTATGATTATTTCTGGACTCTCAATTGTATCCTGTTGATCCGCAGGTCTGTTCTTATGCTGATCCCACCCTGTCTTGATTTCTGTAGCTTAGTAGTGATTTTGTTCTTTCTCAAGATTGTTTTAGTTGTTCTGGGTCCTTCGCGTTTCCATATGGATTTTAGGATCAGTTTGTCAGTTTCTGCAAAGAAGCCAGCTTCGGTTTTGAAATGAATTGCGTTTACGCGTAGCTCAGTTTGGGAGGTATTGCCATCTTAACCGTATTAAGCTTTCCAATCCATAAAAATGGGATGTTGTTCATTTCTTTAGGTCTTTTTTAATTTCTTTCCATTTCTTTTCCAATTTCAATTTCCTTTCATTGTGTTCTGTAATTTTCAGAATACAGTTCTCGAACTTTCTAAAATCAATTTCTAAGTATTTTTTCTTTTTATTGCTATTATAAATTGAATTGTTTTCTCAATTTCATTTTTAATTGTTCTTTGCTAGTATATAGAGATAAAACCACAATATGTTTTTTATTTTTGTATATCGATCTTATATTCAGTACCTTTGCTGAATTCCTTTATTCGTTCTAAAACTTTTTTTAGTGGATTTTTTGGGATATCCTATATACATGATCATGTCATCTGCAAATAGAGATAATTTTATCTCTTCCTTTGCAATCTAGATGCTTTTAATTTCCTTTTCTTGCTCAAAGTCGTAGCATGGACCTTGAAGAAAGTAAAACTACCCCATAACTCTATCAATGTATCATCATAAACACTTTATTGAATATCCTCTCAGACATTTTCATATTCATAAGAATTTTTTCAAAAAATAAAACTGTACCATGCACTTTATTCCACGATTTGCTTTCCCCCACCCCAATGGTAGTTTATAATATTCTTCCGTGTCCATAAATGTAAATATTTGGCATTCTAATGGCTGCATAGTATCCTATTATAGACACGCCATATTTATTTAAGAAATCTCTCATTGTTGGACATTTTGTCTGTTTCTGTTTTTTGCAGCCATGAACAATATTTTGCTGAACATATATGTTGTTAAATGGTATATGTGTTTTATAACACAAGTAATAAAGAAACACTTTCTAAATTGTGAAAGATTCAAGCATGGTATACAGAGAAAAATGTGAAAATCCCTTATGCCCCCTTTCCATGAGTTTACATATGTGTGTGTGTGTGTGTGTGTGTGTGTGTGTGTGTGTGTGTTTATGCCAGTTTACCTATCTTTATTTTATTAGGATCAATTTTCAAAAGTAGATTTGACAGGTCAAAGAGTAAAAATAGTTTTAAGTCTTC